ACACTCGACTGTGATGTTCTGTTGGATCCACATTATCCTTGACGCTAACTGTATGATGGGAACACTAATACTATAGCTCCATCCCTCCGCACCGCCCCCTCTTCCCAATATCAGACCTGCTAGAGTTTATCTGCATAAGTGTGACAACGTACTGTTGTTTAGTATTTTTCATTGTCAGTCTGGGAAAGAAACAAGGAGGCAGAAGCTCTAAAGGACAAAAAGGCAGATTTTGCATTTGTTTAAACGGACACTCCTCATGCTAAAAATACCTCCTTATCAAAGGTATGCTAACAGTCTCAGCGTAAAACAGCACTGAGTGAGCTGGTTTTAATCAGAACCTGGTGGCAGCCAGTCAGTCAAACTGCAAACAGGTAGTGATATTCTTACTGTATGCATCCATGACCGGTGTATAGTTGCCATATGGGCAATCGGACTCCAGGACAACCCTCCCACATACCTAACCCAATAACGCACTGACACTCGGGTATATGGGAAAATTTGTCCACAGCTTCATTAAACAATCTTAAATAATAATAACAATATATTCATTATAACATAATAATAATAATAACTTAACAAATAAACATGGGTCATTGCCCCCATACTCCGCCCTCGCATCCGAGTCCTTCTGTTAATATAAAAGGCAATGACCCCCATATAAATTACACATATATATAACATATACCAACATTATTCCAACATACCAACTTAAAGTGCCAAACATAAATTAACCATGGCAGGGGTATACCCGGATACCCCTACCCCAACAGGTTCTGAGCCACCGACAGGACTCAAAACCTACCAACCACCAATGACCACAGTTTTCCGTTTCTGTCACGTTCCTCCTACGGAGCCTATTTCTTCTCCTTCAGCTCCCTATCCTGCCACAAGCTCAGACCTTGACCCCTTAAGCTGTCTGAGCTCCGCCACCCCGAAGAAATAGTTCTTTGAGTAGTCCGTCTTGCCAACCCAGGTTCAGCAGGTCCCATCCTACTGCCGAAAGATGAACGCCATCCGAGCGGTAGTACCCCTGCAACCCACCCTCCAACTCGCTGAGCCGCACTACCACCCCCCCCCAATTTCCTCATGAAGCTTGCAATCAAGCTATTCACTTTCCTCCTGCACTTGTCGATGGCCACTGGGTCCCTTGCATGCCGCCACCGCCTCCTCGGGATAATCTCTGACCATACTAATATCACCCCCGGAAGCAGGTCCCTCAATTTGTTGAGGTCCTGCTTCATCCACTTCACCAGCCGCCGCTGCAGCGTTAGGTCTAAGTCATTGCCTCCCGCATGGAGCACCAGCAGGTCCGGCCTCCGCCCGCCTGCCACCATCCGGAACATTTCCCGGCAAACATCCCCCCAACCAAAACCCCTGTACCCAAACCATTGCACTGCCAACTGGTCCCTTGGAAAGCCCAGCTGCTGGCCCTGAGCTCGAGCTGCGGCCCTCCTCTCGGCACAGAAAACAAAGGAATGGCCCACGATCCATGCGACATAGCCTGG